ATATGTTATAGAAAAGGGAAAATTTCAGGTAAATGTTTTCAAGTGTATAAGTGATGTCTTTTATTTTCCATTTTATTTTTCATACTTTCTTGTATCAGTAAGTTAAGAAAGGCATATTCTCTCAAGTACTGATTTATAAATAATGTTTACATGAAGCACCAAAAAATTCACTTTTGCCAAGAATACCATTCAGTGACTGTTTTGAATGCTATTTTAATCCTTTCTTAAGCTAAGTACAATAATAATTTAATGCAGTCAGCTAAATAAATATACAACCTATATAGCCTGAACTACAAAAGTGGTTTGTATAGGTATATGGTTTTAATCAAGAACATTTTTCTACCATGAACAGTTATTACAAATACTACCCCCAAATATTTACCTTGCATCAGCTTTCTAAGCACCACCATCACTGCTAATGAAAACATTTATTTTTTTTATTTTAGAAGCTTTAATGTGATCATGAAAAATATGGTCTCCTGAAACTTATCAAATTTTTCAAAGCCCTTCAACATAGAAGCATTGAAATGAAACTTTTATTTTCCTTTCTTAAAATTGCACACAGTGGAGATTGGGAAGGATATGTGACCTGGGGGGAATGAGATTATTCTAGAACTAGGGATGCAAAGGCATCATGGTCTTTTAAGACCAGGGTAGAGCCAAACTTGTACTTCCCCAATAAAGGTGGAGAAACCGTTTTCAATAAAACCTTAGGTGGGGCCTGACTCTTGGATATAGTTCCAGACAGAGTTCTAGAGTCATTTCCATCAGCACAGTTCCAGAGTATGATTACAAAAGATACCATGGGAATAAGTTTCCTCTGAATTCAGACCCAGTATTAAAAACTAAATTTAAGAGTCAGGCTTTTTTGTTTGGGTAATTGTAATGTTGGAGTAGTAGCACCTCAGATATTAAAACAAATTATCTTTAAGGCAGATAAACATTACTATAAAAACATTACTTAGTTTCCTATGTCACCTCCTTAAAAGGAATATAAACCAACCAGTTCATTATGTCTAATAACATCCCAGACTAATGTTGTGTGAAAATTTCAAAATATATGAAGCATATGCCTTGGCTGTCATCAAATCAAAAGGAAATTTAGATTTCATATATTAGCAGCTATGGTGTAGCTTATAATGACACAAATCCATCTAATACAGAAATCCTGCTTTGTACTTCAGATAGTCAAAAGCTGAAAAGAACTGCACAGTTTGCAATACTTTAACTTCTGTGTAGCCTTTAAAGCCTAGTAAGTGCCATGTGTGGTAGTGCATACCTTTAATCCTACTACTTGGGAGACAGAGGCAGGTAGCTCTCTGTGAGTTTGAGGCCAGCATGGTCTACATAGTTAGTTGTAGGCTGGCCACCCAGGGCTACATAGAGAGACCCTGTCTCAAAATAAAAATAAATAAATCCCCATAAGGAATTCAGATAGGATCATATAAAGGCAGGCATTTAAAGGCTCAGATATCACTCTAAAATTGAAGACATGAAAAGAAAGGCTAGAATTCTCATGTTTTTCCATCTTTCATTTACATGGCTAGATACTAGAATATTGCTATAAACCAATACATAGTTATGGTATATGGCTTCCCCAGAATATAATGAAATTTCAGAAAGTACAAAAAAAATCCCTAACAAGATTGAATTTTTAAAATAATTAATTGAAAATTTCATACATGCATATAAGGTGTTTTGATCAAATCCATGCTTACCCCCTCACCTCCAACTCCTCCCAGATCTCCCCATCACTTTTTTCTAATAACTTCATATACTCTTCTTCTTTTATTATTATTATTGTTTTTCAGTGGTGCTTTTGGTTACTCTAACGTTCCTCCCTCTGAAGAGGTAACCCTAAAATCTTTTAAGGATTAGATAAAAGCTCCCAAATACTTTTGATATTTCTTTGGGGTCTTTTTACCCTAAATGCCTAGCTAATTCCTTCCTCCTATTCTTATCACACCATCCTCTGAAGAGATTACCCAAATTGCCAACAGGGACTCGGGATATAGACCACTCTGGCTTCTTCCATGCTGAACAGGGACTCAGGGTGAGGCAATTGGATTACCCCTTCAGTGGATCTATCTAAAAGACTCTCAAATTGCATAACTCTTATCTCTAGGGAGAAAAGAAAGTCCTTGAATCATGAATAGGAGATGTGAAGGAGAAATAAAGGCAAGGGTAATTAGCATTAAAAGTTTTAGAGAACTAGAAAAAAAGTCAGAACACAGCAATTTTCAAATATTTATATGAGAGTCCATTGGAATTTCTTGACAAGGGCTTCCAAAAGCATCCCTCTATTGGGTTCCTCCTCATTTTTCTTTTGTCTTCCAAGGCTGGACTCGGGAGTGATGGATTCAGCATTTGATTTCAGGTATTTTGATGGCTGTTGGAGTGGTTAGAATCAGTGTCAGTTCCCTCTCAAAGGCTTC